CAGCAGCAGCAGCAGCAGCAGGCCTACCTTCCCCTCAGCCAGGACTGGCTTTGGACATTGGTCCTGTTCAGTGAGACTGAAATCGTCCAAGGTCTGCAGAAGAGCCCGTCTTCTCGTGCATCTACAGCAGCCACTGCCAGTGAGTCCCTGCACCTCTAATGGGCACACCCGTCACAATAACCACAGGGAAAGGAGCTGCCACGGGAACGAGCAGCTCACACCGAGGGCCACACTGACCGGCGGCCTGGCTCCCAAGCTGAAGGAGAGGAAGAGCCTGCCCGTCCTCACAGTCCAGTCTGTTCCCCTGCAGCCCCACCACGAGCCTTTGTGATCTCTGACAGGAAGGAGGACCACCACTTCTTCTCCGATCTCTCTGCTAGTCACCTGTTTATAGTCACCTGGGTGCTAGGGTCCGGACGGGACTCCTGCATGTGCAAAGAGCTCCAGCGTCTTCACCGCACGTGAGAAGAGTGCCAGCTCACCCGTCAGCGGGTGTAAAGCAGTGGCAGGTACATCGCAGAGCAAAACAAAACAGGTGGATAGTTTTGCTGGCTATGGAAGTCCCTAATCTGAACTGGTTTGTTCACCTTCTAAAACTGATCTTCATACTGCGGTTTGGAGTTCTTAGGGCGTTTCCCATAGAAAATAGGTTTTGCTTGTTGGGGCTCAGGTGCCTGAGACAAAGGCCCATGAAAAATTGTGATAAAAAACACCAAGTGAACCAAACCAGCACACACTTCTGTATGAGCACTTATCAATCAACCAAACAGAAGAACCCAGGCACTAAAATGAGGTCTAATGAGCGAGCTGTTTTCCTAGAGTATTTCTGGGTACTGTCAGAGCACTTGCTCTTTTTTGTCTGAATCCAGTCTCCCTCCCTTTCCAATGACAGCACGGATTAAGGAGGTGTCTGATGTGGGAATGTCACCAGGCCTTAACGACTAGAAGAGGTTTCCAAGCCACAGATAAAATGAAGCAGCAAAAAGGACTAAAGAAAGAGGGAGGAGGAATGAGCGAACAGAGGTAATGACAGACAAGACCTTGAGGAAGGACTAGTGGAGGCTTTGTCTGTGCAGATCAAGGCGTGGTGGGAGGTGGGATTACTGCTGAGTTAAGGGACAGAGAAAGGGCTGTTTGTACACAGCTCCCCATGTGGCCCACTAGGGGTCAGCACTGTCCTGACAGCAGGGCAAGTGCCTGCAGAGGCCAGCTGGGCACTATGTGATTAAATGAAATTAAAGTGGCCTCATGCCAATGTCAAGTGGGCAGCTACAGTGGGCTCAGCAGAGGCAGATGGGCAAGAGCTCAGGCCCTGGAATGAGACTGCACTAGCTCGCTCTTGCTAACCTTTTTTAAAAAAATGTTTTTATTGACTTTTTTAGAGAGAAAAAGGAGAGAGATAGAGATGAAAACATCGATGAGAGAGAAACAACATCAATTAGCTGCTGCTTGTATGCCTCCTACTGGGGATTCAGCCTGCAACTCCAGGCATGTGCCCTGACTGGGAATCGAACCAGTGACCTCTTGGTTTATGGGTTGATGTTCAACCACTGAGGCACACTGGCTGGGCATTACTAATCTTTCTATGCCTCAGTTTCCTTACCTGTAAGATGGGATAAACAACATGCCAAGCTCACAGGACTGTTGGGAGGCATCAGTGAGATGATGCCAGGCACGCACACAGGGAGTGTGCTCTGCAGGGCGCCCCACAGGACTGGGTGATGCTGCTGCCCTGCCAGCGTGAGGCTCTGGGTAGTAGCCCTAAAGCACTGCTCCTGCTTCCTCCCATGCCTCCCCTTAGGTTATTTCTTATCAGGTCAGACTATAGTGCTGCCACAAGCACTTCCCTCCCTCTCAATTCTTCTGGTTCTCACATACTAGGAGATACACAGTACTATCACCCACTTCCTGGAGGGCTTACTGCTCCTGCTTGCTGGGTCTCCACTGTTTAAAACAAAAGATACACGTGTTGTTTCTGATGTTAACTGTACTTCCTCAAGATGTACTCTTAACAATTCTATTTAACAGAAACTTTCTCCCGCAGCCGTCAGAGAAGGCACTGTTTGCAGGAAAGGAGGGACTACCCTCTGGAACAGTAGAAATGATCGAGCCTGGTTAGTTCCCATCAGAACCCATCTTCTCTCCACTGGGGCCCAGCTCTGAGGGAAACTCAGAAGGAACCGGAGGAGGCGGCTTTGAAGGCCACCTGCCAACTGCCCGCACAATTCCAGCCGGCAGCACACATCCCAGAGCCCCATTTGGAAATGACCTCCTCACCCTCTGTCTGCAAAATGCCTGCTCACAGACCAGGCCAGTCTCCACTCTTCCCACCATCCATTGTATTTACTCACTTGGTCACCCCACATGGCTGGCTGGGGGGTCTCACTCATCCCTGCAACAAACTGTTTAATGTTCACTCCCTGACCTAGACAGAACATCCACACTCCTCAGGGCCCTAGGGCGCCTTCACAACATGCCTGCTGTCTTCCACCTCAGCTGAGGCCTCTCCCTGCACAGGCATCCTGGGGGCGGCCTTAAGGGTGCAATAGGCTCTTCCTCAGCCCCACATGCCCTGCACCCTGCCTTGGAGACCATGCTCACTGGGGTTTAGTCCTCCTTCTGGCGTCTGCACTGTACACACACCTGTCCTCACATGTGGCAATGCTTTCCCTTTACATGACTCAGCCGCCTGCAAGCTCTACCTTGTGTGCTGTGCACTGTGCTGTGGGCTGGAATGACCACGATAAAGACATGACCTCGATTTTCAGAGAAGCATCCACACAGATCATCTCAGCTGTAATAAAAATGAGACGAGCTCTGGCTGGTGTGGTTCAGTTGGCTGAGTGTCATCCTGTGTGCCAAAAAGTTGCTGGTTCGATGCCCGGTCAGGGCACATGCTCAGGTGTGGGTTCCACCCCAGGTCGGGGTTCATGTGGGAGGCACCGAGTGTTTCTCTCTCACATCAATGATTCTCTCTCCTTCTCTAAAAATCAATAAAAAACATTAAAAACAAAGAGACAAGAGCCATAGCAAAGGTACTGATAGGCTGCTTCAGTAACAAAAGTTGCCATTCACTGAGAGGAAGGGAAGGGACTTGGAGTTAAAAGGACAGATTATTCAAGGAGGGAAGGGCAGGCCAAGAAAAGGAAAGGAGGCACGAAAGTGTAGTGTGCCTGTGGGAGGAACTAGTTCAAATTGCTGGAGACCTAGGGGAAGGTGGCACACCAGCGCAGGCTCTGGTATGAGGCAGGGGCCTGTGGGGCGCCCAGCCCATAGCACAGTGCAGAGCCGCGAGTAAGACAGAATAGGTTTGTCTTACTGGGAAATGAAAATGTGGCCAGACCACAGCCCTGAGCCCATCATTGTCACCCATGTCATGTGGTTCTGGTACTAAGAACAGTCAAGTTGTCCCTGCACCAGGCTTTGTCTTCATGTGGGTACCGCATCCCACAGAAGTCCCTGGAAATGCTTTGTGCTCTGGCTGCGAGTGTAGATCCAGAGCCTGCCGGGGTCAAATGTCGGACTTGTGGGCTCCATTTTAGACTACTACTCTTGTTCTCTGACCTTCTATTTCTAAGTCTTATCTTTTTACACCCAGGAAAGCGGCTTTAGTGCCCCCCCCCCTTTTTTTTAGGGAAAAAGGATATTGTGAGTAACTGGTTGCTCTGAGATGAGCAGTGGATGAATTTTGAGGAGGGAAAACCAACAGCAGGGGAGGGGTGGAAGGAGCAACCATCCAGATGGGATGAACACAGAATGGAGGTGGGGACTTGGGGTGACTGGTCATAACAGAAACCAAGAGACAGTCCAGGGAGAGCGTGCGGTAAGAGATCGCTGGAGTTTACCAACATGTAAGATTTAGGCGAGGCAGACAAAGTGTCCACTGGGAGAAGAGCGAAGGGCCTGGCCAAGGGGAATGTGTGAGAACAGCCTGGGGAGACGGGGAGCAGGGATGAGCTGGCAGGTTTAACATAAGGGCTGCCAAGTATCCAATGAGGACCTGAACTAATAATGTCTTTCTTAGGAGCCATCTCATATCCCTGAGCGGCTGGCATAAGGCCTGGCAGGCACATAGCTGTCCCTCAGCACCTTTGCATGAACATGAACCATTACTTACTCTCCACTTCAAACCACAAAGAATATAAGGTGCTTGAATGGGAGCACTCAGTCAAAACCACTTGTACATATAAACAAAACAGTTCCTCTGCGTACATGTAAACCAAGCACAGGTTACGGAACATCTTAAAGGCCCGGCCCGGCCCGGCTGGTGTGCTCAGTGGTTAGAGCGCCAGCCTGCGCGTCGGAGGGTCAAGGGTTTGATCCCGGTCAAGAGCACATACATGGGTTGCAGGTTTGATCCCTGGCCCTGGTTGGGGTGCATGTGGGAGGCAACCAATCAATGTGTCCCTCTCACACTGATGTTTCTGTCTCTCCCTCCTTTCTGCTTCTCAGCCCTTTCCCAGAATCCATATGTAGGCGACCTGCACGCACGCACAATCACGCGAGTGTCAGCGCTCTAAGGACAGGGGCAATTGCTTTGCTCTGGGCAGACTGAAGTCAGCTCAGGAACACACACTCATCCCCTTCACATTCCGCTCTTACCCCTTAATTTAACTCCCAGTTCAGGCAATGGGACAATGTCCTGTGAATAATCTGCTAGTGTCAGTAAATCTCAACCCTGGCTGCACAGAATAATCCCTTGCCGCCGGCGCCCAAGCCTATGAATTCCGACTGATTTGGCCCCGGGCAGCCTTAGGTTTTATCCAAACATCTTAGTCAAGGTTGAAAGCACCGTTACAGCGAGGTCCAGGAGCTCGACAAGGGGTTTCCAGCTTGACCTTGGGAGTCTATCCACCGTCAGACAATGGTTTTTAACCTTGTGCGCTTCAGGCACCCGGGGAGCTCGAGCAAAAACCCGTGCAGGGCCTCCTCCCAAAGGGAAGTCAGACCTGGGGGTGGAGGGCGCGAGGGACCTCACCCTAGAGGTTCCATCACATAAAAGCTAGATGCTCCCTGCTCCCGACCCTTGTTTCCAGGAGGCCTAGGACCTGGCCGGGGCCAGAGGGACAATCGGGGAGAGCGGCCCTCGGCGGCTGTCGGGCAACGTGGCTCCCCTCCGCTCCCGCGCCTTAGATCCCCCCAGAGAAGCTGCCGCCGGCCGCCGCGA